CCTCGTCCCCCCCACGCCCTACCAGCGTGGGGCTCGAGCGCCTGTCTCCCGGGCCGAAATGCCAGCTCCACAAGGATGTGGAGCTGTCTGGATGCAGCTGTCTCCCCAGTGCCTCGAGCACTCCCCTGGGATTTAGGGACACTAAAAATGACCCTGGGCAAGCTCACCTCCTCTCCTAGTTGTCCCACCTGTGAAACAGGGACAGGGAACACATGCCACTGTTTCCAATGTCCTCCAGCCTATGCGGTCTATGATTTTATACCTCATGGAAAGGAACTTAAAACAACAACAACAACAACAACAACAAAAACAACAACAACAACAAAAACAAGGAGACAAATGGCCAACGGTACTTGGAAAGCCCCTCCCTGCTCCACAGAGGCAGGCCTGCCCCAAGTCTTCCGGTGGGACCCGGGGTTTACTACCCAAGTGCAGAGGTGATCGGAACTAGGTTGGCTGCTGGAGATGGAAGCATCCTACCCAAAGCCAACTACCCGCTTGCCAGGAGTGAGGAAGGGCCCCAAGTAATCTAGGGCCTGGCTGCTCTGCTCGGGAGGCAGGTGAGGAACAATCGATGAATGCTGGTGCCGACAGATGCTGGGGCAGCGTGCCCCTCCCTCACGCTGGTACAACAGCAGGTTACCCGGTGCAGCTAATAACAGGCTCCCACAGGACTCCCTGGTACACAAGACCGTAAACCATCTAGAAAACCCCGGCCCCTGACAGAGACAAAAGCTGGCCCTCACTCTGAGAGCCCTTCTGGGCTTTCCCCGGGCCATCAACTCCCCGCATCCCTGCCTTTTAAGCTCAGGGAGGACTCAGGCAATCAGGGGACTTGCATGTGAGCCCTGTCCCTGGTAGCATGGTGGTCCCATGTTTTCATGGTCACCTGCTGGGAGGTCACACTTAAAGACTGAGGGCACATGCTTTGCTGTGCCTCACCTGTGTGACCCTGGGTGTGTCACTTCCCCTTTCTCAGTGAACCTCTCTTGACAGGCCTTCAAGGGCTGCTGGCAGGAGAGATAGGCACCCTCCTGAGCGCTCAGCACGGCTCACTCCGGTAGCTGTTTCCACTTCTTGTTCTAAGACCCGACCCAAACTCCTAGTCCGTTCTTCTGAAGAATCTATTAACCTGGTCCCAAGAGCGAGGGGCTGGCGAGCCACGCTGGCTCCTGTGCGGGCTCTGACATTCACGAGCGGCTGACATTCGGGCAAGGCAGACATTTTCCAGGCTCCATCGCCAAGAGGGAGAGGGGGTGCTGGAGGCCGCCGACACAGGATCCCTGGGATGTCCGCACGCAGGCCCCCAGGTTCA